TTAATCTTCTCAGTTTTTATACTCTTATACAATTGATTTTTACTTTTCAGAACACTTGGCTTTTACGCTAATGGATACTTTCCGCAAACACGACTGTATAAAATTAAACAAAAACTAAGGGATGAGTTAATCACACTACTTTTGAACTAAAATTCAAGAAGGAATTATGCAGTCTATCGACAATACGGTTAAGCTACTTGGTAAGCAATTACACACTAAGCTGTGAACCACACTTAAAGTTAAATTATTTAGGTTGAGGTAAGTGCAGTCCCGTTTTAATATTTGATCAAGTGGTTGGTAACCTAAAGTCTAAATAAATGAGCTACGTCTTATAATTCTCAACTACAAAACATGAAGAATACAAGTATTTCGTAATGCAATGAAAATGAAATATGAACTAGGAGATATACAAGAAAAAGGAGATGTTCTTCAACAGGAAATATGGTCCATGTCCTTATTTCCCGTAAATTATGCACTGAAAACTCTGAAACTCAAGTTAAATACAATCGGGGACACTAGAATAAGACTGGCTAACGCTTAAAAGAAGTTAGGAATTACGTTGTTGATACTTAATGATGATTGAAGGTGAAATGAAAACCTATGCAACGGTAGGATTCGTGTCAGCAACCACCGGGTCATTGAAGTGAAAACAAAATCCGGTCAACAGTCGGGTCCCATACCTCAGTTGATAGAGGACTAGACCGGAAATACGACAATCGTTGGTTTGAATCCTGCCGTTGCCCAAATTCCCATTTCACTTATAATCATCAACTGTTTACAGCGTAAGAAAGGTAGTTTCACGCATAAAACAACTTCGATCCTTATACTTACAGAAAGAATTTATGCATTAAATCAAAGAACCTTGATGGTGGTTAAGCAGTGTTTCATCGGCTTTAATGTTCACTTTTCAAGCAAATGGGTTACATGATAAGACTATGCCTCACCTGCTAAAGCGATTAAGTAGTAATCGCACTCTTTACATAATCCATGTTGTTGACATTCTAGTACACACGTCTATGCAACTCTGCTAAGTTGTCCTCTTTCATTTGTTCTCTGCAAAACTCACAATCGTTGTATGACTTATTAACTTTACCTCGTTTTGAGACAGTGTATTATCTTTAGATCTAAAATGTGAAGTAGAAAAGTCTAAACTTTCAAATACATTCAGTGCTATGTATCCTTTGTATGTAGATATAATCACACCAACAGATATATCATAATTGTAGAGGCTGACTAGTTTGGTAATTAGAATAGTGTTCCTGCATCACTAATTCTACACACACTGAATTGTTAAGATGACTGATTACAGATTAAAAAGAATTTGTTGATAGACCCTACATACGCGAAAAATAATCTAAAATTTAGTTGAAATTCAGTCTAATGTAAACAGAAGGGACTGTCTACTGTCTATCTAAGGGCACATCTGTTCAATCTATTCTTCAGGCTATCTTTATACTTTAATTTCAGTTTTCGCATATTTTCATACCGCTTAAGAAAAGCTCCAGTCATTTATTTTCCCTAAATTGAAATGATGAATGTATTACAGTTCACACATTCAGGTGTGCGACGGAAGATTGTCTCACAAACGGGTCATTGAAGTCGGCAACATATTTTTTCAATCGACAACAAACAAACAACCATTCCCAAGTATGAACAAAAAATGGGAGAACAAATACGATGCTATATAGAGGGAACAAAAATAATTACATCCAGCGTGCACAAGATGGAAAAAACAATTCAGTTAAAATAGTTTTAAATTCGGTCATAACGATGAGTGGAGTTTGTATGAGGTCAATGACCTTTGGAAAGATAGACAGACCAATAGGATATAAGGTCATTACAGATGACTCATTTAATATGTATATTGAATATAAAATTAATTCCCCTATGTTGACAATCTATATCAAATGAAACCAAAAAATGTAGTGTCTAACGTTACAATTTCAAGATGAGATGTTTATGTGATTAGGGACTTGTCAGATAAATGTTTCTCATACAGTATAGTGTTCACAGAAAACAACATTTTGTCTATTTATACGAATTCGTTTTTATAGGTCAACGAAAGAAAGGACTTAGTCCTGGATACCCATTAAAATCTATTTACCATAGAATAGAGATAAGTTACAACGCAGAACTATGATATCACTCAGCCGATAGCAAGGATTATTTGTTCTGGTGCATTATTTCACCAACAAGATGTAATAACAACCCTCATAAATTTGAATTCAGCGCTTTCGGTGTTACAGATAGAAACACAACTACTGAAGAAAAGCGTAGTATACTACGATTGGTGAAAGTGAATATCAAGGGAGAAAATAATCTCAAATCTGTTTAAGCTCAACTAAATTAGACTGTCGGTGACGCTTTTACCTAGAAGAACCAATATAGTAGACAGAAAAGGTGGTAGAAATAGAGAGGTGAAGATTGTAGTTTGGTATTAATGTGAAGCCTTCAGTGCAATTTAGCTGTAGAAGTTTTCTTTCGCTGACAAGTTAGTATTTTTATAGATGTGTTTTTATTTAGTTAAAAGTCTAGAAGTAAGGACTTCTGACAGAATACAACGAACTCACAAATCAATATGAATGACCATCAGTACTTTAGCATTTTCAACAGAGGTGTATTACGTATTGGTTTGATGTTAGATGCTAGGAGACAGTTGACCTTATTGGTAAAGTCTCTGACCACAACACTAATTGATGCGGTGAAATAAAAGGGAAAAATTACACTGTGCTAAGTTGATTTTTAGGTTGATGTTATGTAACCATAATATCTTCATCTACAAGAAGATATCCTATTGTAGCACGCAGTATGTATTACAACAGTATTTCTTAATAACAATGTCATAATATCTTCTGGTATTTGTTACCACAGAAATTACAGACGTATGTTTCATTTTACTTAGGACTGCTCAGTTGCATATACCTATATCATAGTGAGTGCTGATACCCCTAATAAAACTTGGACTCGGTACGGATTAGATGAAATGCCACAGCTTCATTCAGTAGGTTAAAATATCAATTATTCATTCAAGAGTTTGGGGTTTTTTACTACAACCTGACTTTTCTCGTTGATTTTCAAGAAATATCTCTTGAACTTGCTTGGAGGATGAAAGGATGAAATGACGTTTGAAAATGAGACTCACCAAACGAGTCACAGCTTCAAAGTCATAAATATGCTACGTGGATCGTGAACAATACCGATGCAAGATGACCAAAAATAAGACAGTAACTTGAAATTTCACTTGTATTCTATGTACAGCAAAAAGGATTTTAAAATTCTTGATGACTAATAAATTTATTGAGCCACAATAAGGTTAGTAACAACGAGAAACAAATACTTAAAAAATAAGACACAAAACAACATAGACGAATTAATAAACAGCACACTGCTATACATGGCCAGAAATTATAAGCGTACTGATGAAACGATATATATATATATATATATATATATATATATATATATATATATATATATATATATATATATATATATATATATATATATACTTAAACTACAATTAGGTCGCTGACTTGAATACTGCAGAGACCCAGATTTTCATTTTCACCTTCAATCATCACCCAGTTAATTTTATCATTAATACTGTTACTACTACAGCAGCAGATGTTATTCTTGAAGGAAGTAAACATGTCTAGTTAAAAACACACGAAAGCATAAAACTAAGATTTCTTTAAATAAAAGATGCTAGTTTTGCACATGAACAATAATAATAATCTGTACACACACACACACTCACAAGTACAGGTGCACGCATACATATGCAAGCAGAGATACAGGAAGAGTAACACAAAGACATATGCCAATAAATTGTCCATTAATCTCATTCAAAGATACATCCATTGGCCATCTTAAACAAAGGGCACAAGTATCATGGTTCGAACCAAAATAGAACGAGAAAATAAACGAAAATCAATAGATAATATACTTTCGCAAGATCATGAAATTACTACACCATTCAATTCAACCACTTAAATTTAATCCATTATGCTGCAGGCATATACCAGTACCATCTAACCCCCTCTGAGTAAACTGACTGACAGTACGATTGACCTAATACAAAGATGTATGAGTTGTTGGTCTCAGCACTTGACTTTTAACCTATGAATACGGATTCAAACGCTGTTGGGACTTCGGTAGCCAAGAAAGGATATTAGACCTCACATAACGGGCTCGCATAATCGTCCAGTGCATAAACATGCATGTGGTTTTTGTGATGTAAATGTACCTTATAGACAACAACATAGATCTACAATGGTTTTCAGGTTTGTATTTATTCATTTTTAACGTATATCCAAGTTTAAATGTACTTCAATGTTGTCTTCACTAAATCTCCTTTGTCACTATCTAAGCACATACATATAAGTATCGATAACCGAGAAAATATCTGACTAAAAATATGCACATAATGCCACCAGTGGAGCTGTGGTTCATTGGTCTAAGGAGTTGACTTTCAACTGATGGGTCACTGGTTTGAGCTCAGCTCCACCAACCGAGGTTTGGACAGCCAGGTAGTAACACTAGCCTTCACATAATATGTATGACTCATTGTCTACTGCACGAATTTGCACAAAGTTGCTGAGTGCATTCAATTCATTCAATAATACCAACACCTGACTTTACAAACATCGATAGATAGAGCAGCGTAATAGATAGCTGTACGGTTAAGCCAACTTGACATAAATTTCACTAAAGACTAGCCATTGGATGGAACAAAATATGACCATTAGATAAGCCAAACATTTAGAATAAAGGATTCCAGTTAGGTAACTTAAGTATGTGTTCTGCAATCCAAAGAAACAAGACGACAGTGACAAATGTTATCTCTTCATTGGTATTCATTATTTTTTATTTGTTTTCATTTTGCCAATGACCACATATATTATCAACAGTCAGTATAAAATCAGAAAACAATCTGAATAGTAGCATTATTCATTAAAATAATCAGCTGTAAAACACAATAAAAGAAGTTATATACTCACTTCCACCACTTGGTAGACTACTATCATCTGAAACAAAACGTAAGTGATGATCTCTTAATTCAGGTCTTTGAAAAAGTTCTCCCATCCCAGAATTTGGAATCCATAAATTCGGAAGACCAGATAATTTCGATGAACTTGATGGTAAAGGTGGAGGCGGATATTCAGGAGGTGGAGGAATTATGTTTTGTGTTTTTTCTTCACGAATTATTGGACTATGTGGAATAAATTGCCAATTACAATTAGATACCGATGAATGATTGTTATTAATAAGCCCAGAAGGTTCTACTGACTTTAGGTGATCGCCAAGGTCATTATCTTCCTACAAAGCAAAAGAAGCAGTAAATAATATAAATAAATAAAAAGGTATACTGAAATATAAGGATAATGACAAAACACCTCACTAAAGCACTGAATAATTGTATTTGAAGATATTACCTCAATGACGAGCCGAATAGCTCGTTGGTAACACCATCAACTTCAACAATGGGTGGTGCATGTTTGAATCTCAAAGGGGACATTAGTTCCTTAGAGGTTGCAGACATCCTCCAAACGGATGCCTACAAGCACGAAACGTAGGTGCAGGGTTTCCTCCAGAATGCCTCCAAAAAAGTGATATCCATCAAAGTGCACCCTGACGGACACCATCCTAGTATGTTAACCTCACATTGCAAAATGATCCACATAATTCGATCAGCACTGACGACTAGATAACATGAAACAGGTTATTATTAAGTAACTAAACCACGTACATTATCTCGGTCGTATTTTGTTCTCTGAGCTAGGTTGTTTAGTCATGAAGCTTCCATCACCCTTATCAGACGACATCAGCAGCTGTCAATATCTCTCCATGAGTGATTTAGTGGCTTACTCTGACGATGTGGTCTGTGATTGGTTGTTTCTTTTGATTGTTGTGTCATTGATTGTATAGACTTTCCTGTTGGCTGTTCCTGTGCTTGACCTCTGACGTTTCTGTCGTTTATCATTTTTCTATGTCTATGTCTATATGTCTATTGATTGCTGACTGACCTGAATCCAAAGCTTCTAGGAATTCTCTGATATACTCTATGCTTCCTCTCTCCGTCCAAGATTTATGCGTTCTCAAAATTGAATTCATACCCATAGTTGTTATCCACGTGCATTGAAATGAGTGATGAAATGTCATCACGTTGAATAGCCAATTGGTGTTCATGTAGACGAAGAGGGCGGCCACTTTGTCCAATGTAGTGCTGACTTTAGTTATTGCAGTTAATTTTGTAAATGAAATTCGGTTTCTCTTCTTTAGTTGATGTATCCTTTGATCTGCATAACAGTGTTTGGAGGGAATTCGTTGGTTTATAAGCCACACCAATTCCAAGTGGTCTCAGTAATCTTGTTGTGATTTATGATATATTCTTTATGTATGGTAGGACAATGCGTTTGTTGATTTCTGTCGATGACTTTGTAGTTGATGATGTACGGGATAGGCATCTTTTGATAAAATTTCGTGGGTAGCCGTCCTTCCTTAGGGTGGACACCAAGTAATTTTCTTCGTTTCTCAGTGAACTTGTTGTGCTGCAGTGTGTTCTCGCTCTTTTAAATAGAGTTTGCACGCAACTGATTCTGTGTGTCGTTGGGTTGTTGCTATTGTAGTTGAGGATTTGGTCAGTGTGTGTTGGCTTCCTATACACTTGGGTTCCCAGCTTTCCGGTATTTGTCCTACTGACTAAAACATCCAGGAATGGTAGTTGGTTGTTTGACTCTATCTCTATTGTGAATTTGATGTCATTGAAAACGTTGTCGATCAAACTGTGGGTGTTTTCTGTATCACCTTTCTTAATGATGACAAAAGTGTCATCCACATAATGAATCCAAATTTTTGGTTTGATCACAGATAGAATGATGGCTTCCAGTCTCTGCATTACTGCTTTTACAATTAATCCGGATACCGGTAATCCCACAGGAGTTCTCATTTGTTTGTATATCTTGCCGTTGAATTGGAAGTATGTTGTCATACAAAGGTCGATGAGTTCCATCAGACTTGAACAATTCAGTTTTGTGCGTTCTCAAAGGTTTGTGTCATCATTGAGCAGAAGGGACATCGTTTCCTTGGTCAATTGAGGTTTGATGGATATGTATAGTGCCGTGACATCGAAGGATACCATTAATTGGTCGTTTCCTATGTTAATGTCTTTGACCATCATTTTGGATAGAGGAAACACAAAGAATATCAGAGAATTCCTAGAAGCTTTGGATTCAGGTCAGTCAGCAATCAATAGACATATAGACATAGAAAAATGATAAACGACAGAAACGTCAGAGGTCAAGCACAGGAACAGCCAACAGGAAAGTCTATACAATCAATGACACAACAATCAAAAGAAACAACCAATCACAGACCACATCGTCAGAGTAAGCCACTAAATCACTCATGGAGAGATATTGACAGCTGCTGATGTCGTCTGATAAGGGTGATGGAAGCTTCATGACTAAACAACCTAGCTCAGAGAACAAAATACGACCAGATCATCCACCTGAGCTACAAGTATTCTCCACCATTCCATATACATTATCTCAAAAATATATATGATTTAGAAGTCGAATCGAAACCATGAGTAGGACACTGATCGAAATTATTATCAGGTTTTCGTCTCCCAACCACTAAGTTAAACAAGACAAATCTATTCTAATGTTGTTGTTGTCAAATGTACATGAGAATTTCCCTTGTTATCAGTGATTAACTATGGCTATCAGTTCTGGAAGCCACAAACTTAATTCATTGTTTTCCAGTCTCTTTTGTATCAATTTTAATGAATTATTTTGAAAATCATTATTTTTGTAAGAAAAAAACTGATAAAGAGACCACGTTTATGTTTGCGCTATCGTTCGCTTATGGTGAAACCGACTTATGAAACTTACAGTTTCTTTACAGTATACCAACGAATACAACAAAGATGCATTTCGCTCATTTCTGTTACTGCACACCTCAAATGATGGTAACAACAGCGAAACTACAGCCAAGGAAATCTCAAGGTGGCCAAACCAAGACACTGCATCAATGCACAAAGTCAATAGCTGTTGCTGTAAACCATTCAAACGGATCGCCGCTTCCTGATATCCTTCAGAAAAGGATTGATCGTTTTAGACATTAGGTGATATTATGCCTAAGAGATGTAGGTGAAAAAGAGATATTCAAGTGTCATTTTTCTGGCTTTTTATTGGATTTTCGCGTGCTGGGTTGTTAAGCATTATGGAAATTCAACCAATGCACACTTGTACCAGTCATCATATCCAGTCAAAGTTTTGCACATTAACGTTTTCTAACCATATTCGCACAAAGATTTTCAAGTTACGTTTTTATAAGGAGGAATAGAAAGTATTCACTAGTTCAAAAATCGATTTCAAAATATTTTCTCTTGAATTTTATGTGGAAAGAAAGAAACAATTTGACTGCTTCACATGAAAACAAATTCAATTCGGTTTCTAATCTAATAGCAATGTATGTAATAAATGAAAAGTACATTGGTGTTTGTCACTTAAGAGAAGATGAATACAGATTACTAAAATTTAAAGTTAAGACTGTATTACTGAGTGAAATGAGTAGTTGGACGTAAACGGGATGAAAGAGCGACAAGCAATGCCAACTAGATCAGTTTCATATGGAGAATCTCACCAAGTCAAGAATTTAGTACACGCCTATTTTCTTGTCTGTAAGTCGTATGTGATGTTTGGAAGCTTATGGTACTCCATAGGTGTCCAGAATGAACAAGATTTATGGGAATAACACATAAGCCAGAGGTTAACAACTGTAAGTATACCCATTTGAGTCACAGCTCTACAAGATTTTCACACAGAATGACAGGAATGACCATAAATTCTAAAAGAGATAAAAAAACATCAGAAAAGAGTTTTCGAATGGTGAACACTATGCATAATGATGAATCATCTGCTAAGCTAACTAATTTACTTAAATCAGTTGGATAGATTTACATAATCTGTATGGTTTTAATTGAATTACCGTGAGCTCATGCTTCAAAAGCTATCTAATGTTTAATCCCCACAATGGAAGTGGAGAATATCAAACAAATCCTTTTTGTTGTCCAGTAATATATTTACTTCAATCGCATTTTAATAATAGTAAATCAAAACCAAAAATTTGAGGATTTAATCAGTTTTTTACTGCTTCCTTAATTAACATTAATATGGTTTAAGCTGCTAGCTTACGTCACAATTGCATTGAAAAACGGAACAACAAAAAGCCATAATAGGCAAACTTGTTTCCGGGCGTTTAACAAACTAAATATGAATCATACAACTGAGATGTAAGCCGGCTTATCTAATTACATATTCTGTCATTCATTATTGTTATTCTGTAATAAGCCCACCCAGATGTAATCCCATAGGACAGACATTCAGACGTGCTGGAAACAATGTACGGTGAAAAAGAATTAACATATGTAATCATATTATTTGCTCAGTTCTTCAGCACAGAAACACCTTAGTGCACTTGGTACGAAACTATGATAACTGTGGTGCGGAATTCTAATTAGCATATATCAATCTATCTCCCCTAGTTCGGTGGAAATTCAAACTCTAGTGACTTAATGCCATAATCGCAGATATTACAAATAAGCGTCTTAAGCTACCTAATCTTAAATAAAAACAAATCCCCTTGTAACTAAGGTTCGATCAGCGATAAGGATCAAATCATCTTCATAGTTATTAAGCAGTAAACAAGCCATAAAAGGGCTCAAATTTCGAAGCTTTTCAGATGTTTTGAAACTTTTCAGCTTAACGGATAATAGTAAGTGACCTTAAATGTTTAAATGTAACTTATGAAAAGTAAGTGTGCACTGCTAAGATATTAAACTTTCAAACCAATAGACAACGTCGGACCTCACCCTAATGCAAAAGAACCTCTCGGTATACAGTAAATAAATAGGGAGTTGCGGTACACTATGAATCAGTAGGTTTAACAAGTGAACCATTATCTCAAACGATTAGAATTTGAAGCTCCGTTAACTAACTGATGTATCTCCTCTTGATCCCGCCACTCCCTGTCAAACGAAGCATCGGTTTTGATCAGCACAGAAGCAAATATGTGTATTCAAAAGGTTGTCAGTGTATTTTAAACATCCCCAAATTGTCGCATAGTGTGTTTGGAAACCCGTACATCTTGCCGCCATCTTCCCTTAACAAGACTACATCATATAAATACTCCAAGTCGACTAGTGAACCTGTTGTGAGATCAATCCCTATGAAATCAAATGAAAAGGTGACTCTCACGGGTAAGTACATAATACGCTTAATTAAAAATAGAGTGAATATCTTTCGGAAAGGGAA